TCTCGGTCGCAGTCGCTGGCCCGCGGAGATTTTTCAATGGCTGCGTCAAGTTGGCGGCATAAATAAACAACAACAACAGCAACAACAAAAACAAAGAGCTTAATAATAGCAACAACGGCAGACAACGATGACAAGAACGGCAGCCATTTTGCGTTGGCAAATGGAAATAAACTGCGGCACGGGCAACTTTTGCTCGGCTGTGTTAATGGGTCAATTTATCTGGCTGACGTTTTACAAAATATGGCAACCGACAGTCGGTGAGTCGGACGTGGACGTACACAAAAATTAAGCTGGAATTGAAGCGCGCTCTCGACATGCGAAAACTTCGCGCGCACGAAACTATTTTCACAATTTTAATTGCCGTTCCGCACGGCAAATGTGACGCAATGTTGACGCCGTACTGGTCTGATCTGGTCTGGTCACACTGGCAACGCTCTAATTAGCTGTCAACTTTATTTGGCTGCCCGTTTTCGGAATCTTTTAAATAGTTTGCGCCAGATAATCGCCAACTCACAACTTGAATAGCTTTGCATACCTACGGGCGCCGCCCTGCAAGCTCCAGCTAGCAAATATTAATAAGCAATTTTTTGGTAAGCAACAAGGTAAGCACAAAAGACCCTTGGCAGATGATTTAGCAGGTCTTTGACGGGTTGCCAAGTACACGTTGCAACGGTGAGCTTTGGGGGTAGTAAAGAGTCTGCTTAGTAAGGATTTGCAGTTAATGTGTTTCCCATTTGGCTGAAAGTCGTTATACAACATTTTAAAAATGTTCATACTTAACAGTAAACATACGCCAATAAATTAAGAAGGTAGAGGATAGAGAGAGCTAGATTGGGTTAGATAGAAAGCTTATAGTTTATTTTTAGAAGAACCAAGAGCTGTCAACTTTAAGTTTAATTTCTATAAAGCGTGCCGGTCAAGTTTATTCGTAGTTATCGATAACAGAAATATTTAAATCGATAACATCGATAAACAGCTTGGTTTAAGCCTTTCTGTTAAAATAAGTTATTGGGCTCTATAATTAATAACTGCATGCGATCGCTCGTTATCGATATTGTTCATATCATTATCGGATAAATTCGATTAATAATCGATTTGCATTTTGGTTATTATCTTGACGATTATTAAGTTTGACAAGCACGATCCAAAATATTGCGAATATATTGTAGACACAACTCGACTTAACTTTATTTAACTAAATCTTCCATGATCTCTTTTCATTTGTATATCGATACATAGAGTACTTAACAATAATTAATAATATTTCTATCGATTACCGTCTGTCCGCATGTATGAAAGCAAGGAAATTTGGTATGTAAGTCCTCCTCGTGCCGGTGCAGTACGAGGTTCCGATAGTCGATAGCTTACCCTGCTTCCAAGTAATCGATACAAATCGGTATCGAAATCTTGATTTTCGAACAAATCTCGTATGTTTTAAGAGCTAGAGTCGGCAAAATTGACTTGTAGCTTCTAGAATATATATATATATATATATATATATATATATATATATATATATATAAATACCAACATAGGGAGCTTCCGACTAGAGCCTCTTACTTGTTCTATGCTGTTGCTTTTTTAAAATTGGTCATCGAAAAATTGTTGAATTGAAATTGAAAATGTTTATTGCGCTTCTGTGAGCAACTACGCGCTGCATTAAGCGCAACTGAAAAATGCAATAAAAACAAATTGGCGACTGGCTAAGAATAAAAAAAAAGCATTTATCAATCGGTTAAATTGCGCGCCTGTAAAATATTTGCCCACAATTAAGTGAAACAGTGACGCGTGTGCATATAATTTATGATTTCATTTAAACAACTCAACTGCGAGTAATTATGCGACCGCACACAATCGTACACACACACACACACACACGCACACGCGCAAATATCGCTCATACGCGCCGCAAACCCAAGTCCCGAAATTAGACAGCGTTGCGCTTTGTGGCCCACAAGAGAGCGGGGTGTTGACCGCAGCTGTTGGCTCTCGGACTCCGGCCGAGCGAGCACTTTGCGCCTTGGCCCCCTCTGGGCCCAAACATATTACGTATACGCGATGTGCAACCCACCAGCCAGTTCGTTTGCTCGTCTGCTCCGGCTGAACCTTGCGAATTAATGAGTCGTCGTTGGGTTTATCTGAAGCGCTTAATTTAAAACGCTTTCGCTTACTTTCGCTTTAATTTTCATAATTGAACTCGGCTGAAATGAAATGAAATTAGGCAACGGCAATATTAACAATTTATTGATTTAATGCTTGAGCAAAAACTAAATGTGCGTTAATCCCTGCCGTGCGTAAAGCTGCAATAATTACAAATTACACGCGCGTTTATTAATGGACAGCGGCAGCGGCAGCGACAAATTTAATTAAAATAGCACGTGAACAACTTTTTTGCGCCGAACCCAAAACTATATGGAAAAGTTGCTGGCAATTAGTTTTGGCCGTAAAAATCAAACTTTGAATTGGCGCGGCGACTCGTAGGCTCCGTTGGCGCAGCATCTCCGCATCAGGCGCACATTTTGCCAGCCTAGACTTACCTAACATTTTTATACATGAACGACTTCAGAGCTGGTTTTCATTTTGCTGCCTGATGCAGCACTATTGGCATCAAATTGCATTCCCCAGCTCGTTGCTTCGCTGGCTTTGGCTGTCTTTGACAGCCTGTTCGTTCTGATGATGCATCAGAATCTGCTCACAAAAGAATTGCAATTGTAACGCAGCAATTGTGCGAAAAAAAGCCAAACCATTCGCCAGTTAGAGAGATGCCAACAAAGTCCTACTCACCTGCTCGCAAGATTGATAGGAGAATCAGTTCCTTTTCTAATTTTCGACTACAACGACTTTCAACGAAAAACTAGGTTTAATTCTAAATGAAATACTCAGTGATTTCTTGGAAGTATAACTAAATGAGGAGCCTTCAGTTTTAGTTTCAAACTGATTGACTGACTGACCGTCTGTCTGTCCGTATGTATGAACGCAAGGATCTCAGAACCTATAAGAGCTAGAGATGTAGGTGCTCCTAGTGCCTGCGCAGATCGAGTTTGTTTCCGATAATCGATAACTTACTCGGTTTCCAAGCAATCGATAAAAATCTTTATCGATATCCTGTTTTTTGGGCAATTTTGGTAAATAATAAGAGCTAGAGTCACCAAACTTGACATATAGCTTCTAAAATAGAATATATATATGCTGAATGTTGAAAGAAGAGGGTTCAGGGTATCCCCTAGTCGGGAGCTCCCGACTAGAACCTTTGACATGCGGGTGAATTTTTGTGTTCATTTACATGTGCAAAGATCTTTTTGGAAGAAGAGAGTTCTTTTTAAGCCACGCCCCACCCTGTTCTCTTGCTGCCTCTTTTTATGCTCATATATTTCATAATTTGCATTATGAAAAAATCCATCGGAGTTCGTTAAAATATTCTCTTTCAATTGAAGTCCGACTGTTTTCTTGCTTCCTTTATCTATGGTTCTCATATATCATAATTATTTTGTACTTCGAAAGAATCCATTGCAGTTGTCGTAACGAGTCCCAAATGCCCTTCTTTAAGCTATACTCTTCAAATGAAAGTGCGCCTCTTCTTCAAGTAAAGGCAACAGTGTTTTTGTTTGTTTTATAATTTCTTTAATCAAATGCATTTAATACAGTTCACTTTGCTGCAGCGAACTGTGTCTTAATGAGATGAGCTACATTTTGTTGCTTTTCGAAACGAAAGTATGAAAACCCAAAAAACGTTTCAAAGTGTCGAAGGTTGTGCAGTATTCTTTCGTTTTTCGTTTTGCTTACTTTATTTGATTTGGTTTTTGTTGTTGTTGTTATAAATGTTTACTTTAGCTTAGATTACAATTATATAGTTTGCTTTTATTTGATAGTTTTGCTGACATTTACGAGACTTTATGTTTGTATGAGTTTAAATTGTTGTTTTACGCACTTTTCGCATAAATTACATTTATTAATTAGTTAATACAGTTAACTCAAGTTTGTAAATCAATTAAAATATATTTACACATAAGTATTTGTTTTGTTGTTGTTGTTGTTAACCGCGAATTGCAGCTCAAATTAACAATATTATTAATTTATGTATTTGTTATAATTATAGTTTTTGCATTTTTTGTTTTTTGTTTTGTTTTGGTTTTTTTCTCTAGGTAGCTTGGTGCAAGGGAAAGTGTTAAATTCATTTGAATGCATCAATTAATGCGAACCAGTAATTTTACACTTTGCCATTACATTTATAATTCGATTTTTTTGTAGCTGCAATTATGTTAGTTTTTGTTTGAGAGCTTCTTTTAACCCTGAACTCTGTTAATGGAATAATGCACATTTATTTAATAAGCGCAAAACGAGAGCTGATGCGATTTTAATCTCGGCATTCATTAGAGATGGAGAGTTGCCAATTTAGGTTCTTCTATATTATGATGATCAAATAATTCAGAATAATCCAGAATATTTCACTTTTACTTGCATCGCACAGACACACACACACACACACCCCTCCTTCCCCTTCCTTCTTGGTTTCCTTAAATTGTCAATTATTTGTGTAGCTATAGTCCTCAGTTAATTTGGTATGAATAGAAACTTGACTGTCAAATATGTAAATGCCTTAAAATGTTCATACAAACGGACAATAAACACCGAACAAACCATTTTCCATGGCGTGTGTCTGAGAGAAGAAGATGAAGAAGCACATGGGCAGCATAAGCTGAAAGGAAACTGTAATTTGTCATAGATCAGCTCGTCGCTGGGTTCAGGGTATCAGCTAGTCGTGCACTCCCGACTCTAGTATTTTTTCGATTTTGTTTTTTAGTTATTGTTACAGAAATTTTCATACTTTTACGCTATGCATAACATTAACACTAATTTCCACATCATTTATTGCATGACATTCATATATGTATATATATATATATAATCCGCAAAAATTATCCTTTAACTAACAATATTATTATTTACAGGTGCATGGTCTGTCTGTCTGTCTATGTGTGTGAGTGTATTTCATTTAATTATCATGACGCCATGGACTGCTGTTGATGTTGCGGCTGCAGCTGCTCCTGCTGCTGCTGCTCCTGCCTGGAGTAGCCATTGCCGATTGACAGCCTGACATCGTAATTGATATGCACTAAGGAGAAGCTGGCGTTGCCCAGAAGCCAGCACAGCCATCGCACCACCGCGCTGGCGGCCAGTGCCAAGACGAGGTTAAAGTTGAGGCTGTTGCGAAGGCAGCTGCCGTTGCCGCCGCTCTTCTGCATGGCCGCGGGGCTCTCGTCTGAGAAAATGCAAAATGCAAAATGCAAAATGATGAAAAATGCCTGGCCGGGACCGTGCCTGCCACTTACCATTAATGACATTGACCACAACGCTGGCCGCCTCCGCTGTTGTCGGCATGCACGTATAGTTGCCCGTGTCCAGCAGCTGGGCATTGGCAATCCGCAATCTGCAACAGTAAAGCGAAACCTTAAAGCCAGCCAGCCAGCCAGCCACCCAACTAGTTGAACTTGGGTGGCCCAATCAGTTGCCACATGAAGGCAACTTCATTGATCAAAGCTCAAAATGCCAGCGCGTCAGCTATTCAGCTGGAAACTAACAAGGGCCTAAGCGCACACAGCCACGCCCAATAGGTGCGAATGGGCGTCAGCCAGCGTGTGAATAGCTACAGCTTGATGCTAAATGTATCGTGATGAGACCAAAACCCAAGCCTTACCTGCTTTGGAGCTTCTCGGCAAGTGTTGATTCCATTGAGATGCGCTGCAAGTCGATGGCTGCATCGTTCGGATGGGCCACAAATGGTGTGAGAATGTAGGGGCCGCGATACCAGTAAATTGGCCCAATATCCTGAGCCGCTGTCGCCGGCTGTTTCACATGGCATGTGAGCGTTATAACGCTGCCCACTTTGACGTACAAATCCGTTGGACCGGCTATAATCGCTTTGGCATCTGGCGGCGTCACTGCAATGGCAAAACGTGGAACGTGCACAAAATTGATTAATAGCACTTCAAGGCGCTCGCCCAATCCCAATCACAGCCCCAATACCAATCCCAAACCCCAGCCCATGTTGAGGGCGTGTGGCTAACCGCTGGCAACAACACATTCCATTTGGTCTGGCGACAATTCAACAGATGATCCACAATTACACTCGATGAATCAAAGATGCACCAGCATATACCGCACGCTCTCCCTCTCTCTCTCTCTCTCTCTCAACAGTCTGGGCAACGTTGGCGACCCGTTAATAAGCACCTCGCACCGCCGTCAGCTACGTGACAGCAGGTGGGCGCACACAAATACCTTTAGAATTCAACACGATTTGAAAAGTGTGGCTTTAAGAAATTTACATTAATTGTCTCTTGGCCTTGCGGAATATATTCGGCGCAGTTTAATGGGAACACAAAAAACTCAGTTTAAATGAATTTGTATATAAACCGGTTGCAGATGGATTTCAAATTGGAAAGCGGTAAGTAACAACATATCATTTTTATATTTATATATATAATCGTTTATATTTATGTGGAATATTTGAGCTACGCAATTTGAATTAATATGCATACTCTACTTTCCCTAATTTATTCAATTTGTATATATATAATAGCTCGAATATATCTGGAGTATTTCAAGTCGTTTGGTTGTTTGGTTGTTTGGCCATATTCTTGCAGATTTTCAAAAGTTGAAGAGATTCATCTTTAATCTAACCAAGATCGAACTTTATTCTCGCAAGAAGTGGAGAGTCAAAATGGCTTGTCCATATTTGTTAGACTTTTAAGAGTTGAACACTTCCTTCTATAACTGAGTTCCATATTATTTATCTAATTTTATTTTCAGTAACTTCAGTACCTTCAGATTATTTACAAGTGTTTAACTTACATGATATTAACTTAGTGGGATATTTACAATGAAAATGATTCGCTTTGTAGATAGTCAGCCCTTGTAGGCGCCTCTCTCTCTAATGAGAAGAACAACTAGATAGTGCTCTTGACTGTCTGACCTCTTTCCTTATAAATTAGCTTCGCAATTAAGTGCGCTGCATTAGCTAGTCGAGCTGATTAGCCTAGTGGCATATTTTGCCTTTGTCCTGTGTCGCCTTAAACAGATTACCCATGTTTAACTATAGAAACACCTTTTGTGGATACACTTTGCCTGGACATATGTTTAGTTAGTCTACGCATTGCCATATCGATTTATATGCCAAGGCTGTTGAGTCCAATGAGCTGGTCTCTCTTCTGGGCGCTAAGCTGTTATCAAGTTAACTAACTAACCTGCTGTGGGCCTTGTTGTCGTTGTTGTTGCTGTTGCTGTTTACTGCGCAGTAAAATCGGCTTTACTGGCTGCTGCCGGGCAGTCTCTGCCACTGCCAGTGCACATCATTAACAACGTCAACATTTGACTTTGTTGACGGGCTGCTGTTGGCCCAAAACTGTCGGTGGACGCACCAAAAAAACATTAAACCAATTTTCAGTGCCTATGCGAAATGGCAATGGGACTCTCTACCACGAGTGTATGCCGCGCATTTGTCTC